GAGGCTTGTGCGTGCGCCCCTCTTCTCGCAGAAGGCAGATGCCGCATTCGGCCCGTGCCTCTGAAGAGTAACGCTTGCAATGCCTCCCCCCTCGCAAGAGGAGGCCTCTCTGGAAGGGCAGCACACGCCAGAGTAGGTGGGCTCCGTCAGCTGGGAAGACAGGCAGGCAGAGCAGGTGAGTCGCAGCTGACGCATTTTCATCCGATTTCTTGTTTGCAAAGCAGATTTCTGCTGAGGGCGCCTTCCAGATTTCCCAGCATTGTCCTTGTAGTGAATGGTAGCATTGATAGGAGGGTTTGTCAGAAATGAGCCAGTTGGAAAAGATGAATGGCAGGGGGGTCGAAGGCTCCTGGGGCCTGGTGGCAGATGGTTCTGCTCGTAAAAAGAATGCTATCCAGATGTTTCAGCTGCCTAATAGAGCAGTGATTGAAAAGCATGACATGCTGTTTCCCCGTAAAGTATTAATGTAGTGACTTTATTTTATTTTTTTGCTCAAATCATTTGCATAATGGTTGCTGATCTGTCAACAAAGCAGCCATCTCTAGTTTTGCTGAGCAGAAGCAGCACTGTGTCTGTTTTAGAACCTGGGCTCCAGGCACGGAGTGCAGCTTCAAATGGACCAGCCATGTGAGTGACGGAGAACCCTGCACAGGTGGGACGCAGACTGGGTTTGCACTCCGGCTGAGTTTTAGCAGCCTGCGCTGGTCATCTGTGAAAATGGGAATGTTACAGCCAAGGTAGGCATCCAGGCTAGGTGTGCAATTGAGTTTTGCAGTTTTACACTTGTGTAAGCTTGTCATGGATTATCTTCCCAGCATCCTGGCAGGATTAAACCTCAGCACCCCAACTGTCCCCCAGTTTCAAAAAGAGAAGTCTCATTTGAAGTTCATGGAAGTTTCCCTTTCTGCACATTTTATCTCCCACCGTGTGAGGTGGAATTTGAGGAAAAATCTCTGGGGGAGATTTTTAACTGTCCTGTTGTGATCCAAATCAAAGCTGCATGCGCTTACACAAGAATAAAAGAGGCAAGACTTGGCCACATGCTATGGTAGAGGTGCCTAGGCCTTTTGGACCTGGGGGACATTTGGGAATTTGAGAAACAGTCCTGGGCACCATCACAAAATGGCTCCGATGGACAATGTGGCTAACGACATAAAAGCTCTTAGGGGTCTGGCTTCTCAAATGCGAGCTGAACAGGTTGCGAGGACAGAGGGAGAGAAATGGAGAATCAACAGACTGAGAGGGAAGGACCAGCAATCATTATGTAAAAGATTTTGGCAAAACGATCAAATCAAATCGCTCTATTAATACTTTATGGGGAAGCAGCATGGTGTGCTTTTCATCGCAGCTCTTTTACGTAACTGAAAGGAGTGGAGAAAAAGAGCAAACTAGAGGGAATATGAAAAAAGACTGCCTGAACATCTTCCGTGGTCTTTATTAAGCCAAAATTTTGTAGGCGCAAGGGAGGGGGAGCGTGATTGGGCATCTGTGCAGGCAGTCCTTTGGGGACCCTGCATTATCATCCTTGGGCCCATTCGTGACTTCCCTCAAGCTTTTCAGCACTCTGGGGTGATGGCCTCAGACTGGCTGTACTACGTGACTTTTCGGAATGTCCTGAGCCCTCTCACTCACATTTTAACACAATTTTTATTTTGTGACTGACAATTTATCTGTCAGGGTTGAATTTTCTGTACTTGGGGACATATACTAGCTTGCTGTTAAAGTGAATGATAATCCTTTCTTTTTAAAATGCACTATTTTAGTGTAACAATCCAAAAACCAAAGAACCAAAACTTGAAGCTGCGATCAGGATAGTTCCTGAATGGACAGAATATGACTCCGAAATACAGAAGCTAATAAATCGAATCCGAAAGAAGAGGAAAAATGCAGGCCGGTCCCATAAAAACGGTGAGACACGGGAACATAGACAATATTACAGGATTAGTCAAAGGTTTGCTGGGGGAGGGGGGAGCAGGGGATAGGGAATTAAGAGCATGATCCTGTGTATGTTAGACAGAAAAAATAGACTGGCAATTGTAGGACTTCCGTGGCTTAATGCACATAGGGTCCTGGCGTGAATGTGTCTGGTTCTAGGATTTTGAGAACCATCCAGCAAGGTGCCCTCTGGGGGAATCCTTAAGCTGTTAAGATGTGGACTATGCAGTTAAAGAATCATCTCAAGCTGTCTAGGATCTTTGAGTGATTCCCGCAAGTGACAAAGATGCAGTTCTACAGGCAGCAGGCCAGTGGGCTGGTGAGCAGGCCAACCTGCAAGTTTGCTGCTCCATGGGGAAAGCGTTCGGTGCCCCTCCCTTGGATGGAAATGCCACGTGGATTTCCCTAAGGTGTGCTTCCCAGTCCTAAACATCCCTTTTGGAAGAAAGCCCCACAGACTGCCATAGGGACAGGCTCACCGTCGTTCCTTAACTTTCGTCCATATCGACCTATAAGGATAAACGCGTTTTTAAAGGTGTGTCAGGGCTGGAAAGTTCCCAGGCTTCTTGCCTTCCTCAGTCTTTGATGGCAAGTTTTATGTGGTGACGATCCATGTGCCTGTGTGCATCAGCCCTGTGTGCATGATGGAGAAATTCAGATTGCGGGGTTCGTCTCAGCCAGGGCACAGCTGGCCAAATAAAATACGGTATCTGCCTAAATGTTTACAGGTAGTTGCTCCGTATTAAGGCTTATTCAGAAATCTGAGGAGGCAGGAAGACAAGTAATGCTCAGCACAGGGCATTGCCGCATCTCTCAATGGTGGCCAAAGCAATATAGAGGAAAGGACTAGCGTGTGGCCCTTTGCCATCTGTTTCCTCTTGTAAAAGACTGGCTCTGTGATACCAGTATCAGCTGCCCAAGTAGAATAACGACTCCACTGGGGAGGAGAGAGAGACACTACGGAAATTAAGAGGACCTTGGCTATGCTCAAGTAACACCTGGTTTTGCAATTGTTCTGTGCATTCAAAACTAATGGTACGTTTATGCTGGTCTTTTACAGGTTCTGAACATGATGAACTTTAGCACTGCTTGGACGTAGCTGCCGTAGCATTTCTCTGCTGCCGGCCATAGACTGGGTGGAAGCGCTCGCTTTCATGGATGTAAATACTACGGAGACACGCTGTACCTTTGAAGATCCTTGAATGTGCAATCAGTGGGGAGAGTGGAAAGGAAGCCCAGCCAAGAGCTGACTGTATAGCTTGTTCTTCAGTCCAGCGGGTTTCCATATTGGTTGCTGAAGTTAGTTTGAATTTATGGTGCTATTTTCCCTAGGCACCCACTGCTCTTACCTCACACAACACAATTTGTTGAAAATATCATGCAGTTCACGAGCGTGTATACATTTGCGAGTGATCATCTAGGCGTCTAGCACAAACCCACGCAATACTTACTTAAGCGTTTCTACCCTGTCTTTTTGCAGAAGTTTCCAAGAAGGCTGACTTGAGCCGTTACTTGAAGTTTGCGTTGCTTTTTCTGTTCGGCGTACCTATATGCAGAGGTGTTGTGTGTGTCGCTCTTACTGAACCCACTGTGCTCTGGGTAGCAGCAAGAGGCAGGTGAGCTAGGAGTGAGGAACCACCCCAGTGGGCCCCTGCTGGGGTGCGGACCTTGGGCAGGTGTGCAACTGTACCTCTCTCCCTTGACTCCAGCCCACCCCAGCTTGTCCACCAGGTTTACCTGAGTTAAGGATACATTCTGAGCTGGAGCATCCAGCTGAGCTGACAATTTGAAATGTCTCCTCCTAGCCAATAATAGGCTGAAGTGACAGGAAACAAGATTTCGGCTGGACAGTGGAACCAATGGCTTGGGGAGCTTGTGGCTCTCACACTGGAGGCATCAAGAGGTGGTTGGACAGCCATCTGTCAGGGATGTTCTAACTGGAGCCCTGCATTAAGCAGGGGGTTGGATTTGATGGCCCTATAGGTCCGAAGTACACGGCTGGATGGTGCCCCCTGGAAAACAGACTGGCCCTGCTCGTGCATTGTATTCCACCCATGTTGACATGATGTCATTGCACTCAGAATATCCCCCACAGCTGCATAAAGCAGGCAATGAACTATACTGGCCAAATTTGAGTATCATCTCATGCCTTCAAGATGTCTTTTACTAGATGCTTACAGGAGAGAGAAAAAGAGAAGAGGAAGGGCTAATCTTTTGGGCAGCAGCCACATGTCCGCTGTTAAAGCCCACGCCTGTCCTGCAGAATGGACAATTTAACTGCACTGGTAAAGATACTCAAACTGTGCTGATTTCTTTGCCACTTTAAAAACCCATTAACTAGTTTTGCTGTTCTTAAAACCACAGAGGAAATACTGAAAAGATTCATTCTGCAAGGCTAGACAGGCCTCTGTTGATGCATTCTGCAGACAGTTGGGCTAAACGAACTCTAAAATTTCTTGCAGGTCCAGTATCAGTCCAGTCCCCGCTGACAAGCACCTTCAACGTTTTTTCCACTTGTAAGCCTAGCACTAGCGCTTTTGCTTCTTAGGCCATATGGTCATACTGGTCGATATATGACATGACTTGAGCCCTGCTGGACCTAAAAACTTCCTCTACATGTTCCTCTACCAAGCTAGTGCATTTTCCAATCTACTGTCCTTTGTTGCCTGCAGACATGCTCATCTCATTATCTGTCATGTGATCATTTTAGTAATACACATAAAAGCAGCCATCTTTATGCTTACCTCCACCAGGAAAACTGCTAGTAGAGATCACCTGTCCCCCAGCAGCAGAAACTTTCCTCCTTGTCCCAACACTTTTCGTTCCTCTTAATAAGCCATTGTTGAAAGACTTAAACGTTTCTTTTGGTAAACACACCTTTCATTCTTCTCGGGGGTAGATGAAGAGAACTAGGTAGGCGATTCTTTTTAGAATAGCTCATTCTTCCTCGTGTCAATGCTCACGTTTTAACATTCCCAACTTTACGACTCGTGGACTTAACCATTCTTCAGCTTTTTTAAAGCTGCTTTGTTTGTGTATTTCTACAATGGGCACAAACAAAAATCTTCCCTTTGTGTCTGGTTTCTTTGGTATAAAACAGGGGTCTCCAACTCGCGGCCCGCGGGCCAATTGCCGGGAGGGGCTCTGCGGCCTTCAAAGTGCCGGCAGCGCCCGGGCCGGCCGCGGGGTGAGCGGCCCACCACCACCGCTTGATGTGGCCCAGCCTCACCCAGACTCTCCTTCCAGTGGCCCCCAGGGAAGTTGAGTTTGAGACCCCTGGTATAAAAGGATCTCAGGGTGGAATTAGACATTCCAGCAAACAGTGGGCTACCATGTTGTGGAAAGTGGGCTAACAGTGGACTTTCCACCATCTTGTAGAAAGCCAGAATAAACTCAACAAATAAAATATGTCAAGTTACACCCCGTCTGTCCTGGTATGTGTCTTGATGCCATCACATGAGGTCAGTCCTTAATGCCATGGCCAGAGCGTAACGCAGAGGGAAAGGGGGAAAGCTTGAGAAAGTGCAGTTTATCTCACCCCAAAATCATCATGCAAGAACAACTTGCTGTTCAGCCTCTCCTCAGAAGCAGTGCATGCAAGCTCAGACTAAGGGTCTGTCTAATCCAGCATCTGCTTTGCACAGCAGCCAACCAGCTGCCTGCGGGAAACCCACAAGCGGGGCGACACCCACACCCACGTTCCTTAGTAAGTGGTATACAGAGGCATGGAGTCTCTGACACTGGAGGTGGCCATCAGGACTAGTACCACTGATTGCGTTCTCCTTGAATCTTTCCAACCCCGCTTGAAACCACCCCAAAATTGGTTGCCATCAGTGCGCCTTGCAAAACTGAATTTCAGTTTACCTGTGCAAAGAAGTTCTTGCTTCTATCTGTCCTGAGTCTCCTCCCAATGAGCTTCCATGGAGAGCACACAATCTAGAGAAACTTAGCTAGCTAATCTCTCCACGCCCTTCCTGATTTGCACACCTCTGCCGTGACTCTCCTTACCGCCTATTTTCTCAGCAAAGCAATGCCAGATGTGACCACCTTTCCTTCTAGGCTGGGGCTTCTGCTCCAGCTTAGAACTGTGTGTTTGCAGCATCTCCTGAACCCCAATGCAGCTTACTACCCTCGGCTGCATTGGAGAATATTGTTCTATTCCCCCATGTTTAAATTCAGTCAGTCGTCAACTTTCACAGGTGGGATGGGAAAAGCTGTGCTCCAGTATCCACAACGTGCCAGAAATTACCCCCTCTGGTTAAATTTCATTTTTGAAGAATGACAGGGTAAAAAAGACACCTCTTTTGAAATAAACAGTTAAATAATAGTTATTCTGCTAATCTTGCATTGCTTAAAGTTCAAAATACAAAATTCATATTTACACCTTTGCCAACAATTTAATGTGAACATTCAGTGGCACAGATGCTTTCAGGCTTCAATTTAACAAGGTCACTCTGGATTTCTTGATGATGGTGACTTACAGAACATTTCAACTGGAACAAACCCCAGTTAGTTACCATATTTACATTCAAAACTGTAATGTGGGAATGAAAGAGTTCCTTGTATATTTAAATGGAGATCAAGCTAGGATCCTTTCCAGCTATTCCACTGGCACTTTGGGTAATTAGCTGTCCTTTACCATTCAAACACAGTTCACAGAAGGAACTCTCCTGTCTGGAACCCTTTAACACTGCAGTGTTCTAGCAGTGGCACTGCAAACCTGTGCACCTGTTGTCACAAAGAGGGATGCGCTCCAATCTCTCCTGTAGCACCAGGAAGGGGTCCAGAGGATGCCAGCCCATCCATCACCCCACTCAGGCAGAGAGGTTGCAACCAGTTCAAGTTCTGCCAGGCATGGGCTAGGTAAGATGGGGAAGAGCCACACAAGGCATTCAGCAGTCCCACTGAACTCAACGGGGCTTACTCTCAGCTGAGCCAAAGGGCTGCAGATCTCATGATGCCAACCGTGGCTGGTTTGGCCCTTTGCTGCGTTTTAGGGAGGGATGGCGTCATGGAATGTCCCTTCTTAAAAATTAAATTTGTGCAGGTAAAAAAGATGATGCTGGGGAGAAACTGAGAGGAAAAACTCACAGGGTTATGTTTTCTGCACAGATACCTGAAACAAGAATGCAGAGCTCTATTATCAGTTGTTTAACAACGATTTAATTCCCGTTTTTTCTTAATACATAAATTATTTTGCAAAGAGGAAGATCTACTTTTTGGTTCACATTTGACATGTCTCATGTTGCAACAGCAATATAATCTTAAAGCAATCTGGAAAACTCTAACGGTATTGCTTTGTAAACTGTTTCTTCATTTCTAGAAAGGTGAACAAATAAGCATTTCTAGAAAGGTGAACAAATAAGCATTCGCCTTTTCCCTTCACCACAAACACCCCCTGATAATCACAGGGAAACATCAACTTAGTCGTTTCTGTTCCTTAGCTGTTATAAACACACATTTTAAGCTTTGGCACAGCTGCATACTGTATATTAATCTGGTTTTATGCACACAAAACAAACAGCTTTCTGATTAATAGACACTTTCAACTGATTGATAAAATTACGGACAGCTTTAATCTATATTTTGTGGCTGCCAGTACATTACCTAGCATGATTTCAGGCATCTTTATCTTCAAAAGAACTCCTGAGCACTCATGGTACTGACTCGCCTGCATTTTTAAAAACACTTTATTCTGCGAACATTTCAAATGTCTGCATATACCCCAGTGGCAGCTGATGAGCGACAGTGGCCAGTCCCTTACCGAGGTGACTACAAAACCTGCATTGACATAGTCCTGGCCAATCTAATTTCCGAACCCTCATGATGGAGCAGAGATGTGACAGCTTATGAAGGAAAAAAGCGGGGGGGGGGGGGACTGAGAGGCAGAGAGAGAAAACGGGGAATCATTTTTCTTCAGTTTTTCCAAAAATCCCTGGAAATCTCCCCCAGGGGGAAAACAATCACACCTCCAAGCAAGAGCCAGGACAACGGCTTTTGGAAAGCAAAGTGCCACCGGGACTGAGTGCCAAACAAATTCTTACACCACTCAGACAACGCACACGAGGCCCTTTCTTACCCTAAAAGGAATACAGCATGTGAAATACTGCATCACAGTCGGCTCGGTTGCCAGATACCTCCCTACACTGTAAATTGCTTTGGGAGCAAGTTACATAGAGCTACCACGATAAAAGTGCTATGTTTGCAGCGCTGGGCATGTTTGCGGATGTCCAGGAGAGATAACCGAGAAGCGAACAAGGGTTTCATGTGCCCCCCCCGCCCCCCGGTGAAATTACTTCCAAAATCACTCGCACAAATTAAGAAGTTACCCGTGAAAAAAGACAATGGGAATTCCTCAACCATGAAATCATTGTTCTGCCTTTTGGACTATGCTACTGAAACAAGCCGGGTCCGATCTGGACTTCACTACATTCCAGCGCACATCTGCATCAAATCTGTGTGGAAAGTGAACACCTGAGTGGGACAGATGCCGTTCCTTATGCAGGTGTCGCCTGCAGGATCCCAGTGGGATGTCTGATTGCCAGCACTGGCATTGCTGCTGAAGCGGTGATGTCATATCTAGACTGAAAGGAAGTTGGGTGTACTTCTCGGACTGTCCTGATACTGAAGTGTAATGACGTAACTCCCGAATACTCAAATTGCCTTCTTGAGAACGGCTGTACTTAAAAAAAAATACTTTCTGCAGATCCAGAATCACACAGTAAGAGGTTTCTGGGCTCTGTTTTGAGTACAGTTCAGAAGTGCCAGAGCAATACCAGACAAAAGCACCTGAAGGATTCACATGTCTTTGGCGGACCCAAGGTGAATGTCAGCTCCGGTGTTACGGTTTCCTGTGGCTACAGGCAGTTAAGGGCACAATCCCACACATGCTCAGACAGAAAAAAATGTCCCACAATGCTGAAAGCTGTAGCCCTTTTTTCTGTATAGACCTACATAGGACTGTGCCCCAAATTAGTTCAAGGGAGTCACCAACTCCTTTATGAAACTGACTCATCTGAAAGGCTTCTAAACCATCCAGATTACATAATGGTCAGTGGAATGCTACAAACACAGTCATTTAAAAAGTTTCATCAAATTACAGGAGACATTTGGCATCCTCCTCTTGTCTAAACCACAACACTCTTATCTTAAAAATTACCTCACAGGACATGTTCACATCCCTTTAAAATAATCCTCCAGATCAGAACTAAATTCTGTATATCTGAAGCAACATCTCGTAGTCATTCTGCTCAAATGTCAAGCATATGTTGAGGGAAAAGCTCAAAATAGTTCTATTTAATACCAGCTAAAAATACCATTCTATTTAGGTAGCTTTGTGAAACAACCAGAAGAGAAATTTTAATCAAGAGAGAAAATCATCCTAGTAAAAATAATCTAGAAAACTCTCTCTGCAGGCCTTGGTTGTGGCCCTGTAAAGGGTCACAGAGAGGCTTCGATCCAGAAATTACCTGTGTAGCAGAGTTACTTTCTACCATGCTCCTGTTTTGTATAACCTCCTGCTTCAAACAGTCTTAGGGAAGAACCAGGCCACCTCTGCAATTCCATTACCCATTTCTTCTTCGAAGCGGCAGGCAAGTGCAACCCGAGCCACATTTTAAGAGCGATCTGATGCAAGACAGTCATGCAGAAGTGACAGGTGTGTCCGCCAATGTCACCCAAGGAGAACAACACCAATACTCGAGTCCTTAGCATTTCCCCTCGAGAAATCACAACGAGACTATACACTGTGCTCTTGTTCCTTCAGTGAGGAATACCAAATACCTGACCAGGTCCGGCAAAAGGTCACTTAAGAGTTAGGCAGATTTTAACATGCGTTCTTCAACAGAATAGCTCCTTTGATGTCAGCTGTCTTCAGCCGAAGGTCTCGATCTATTCCAGGTGACTGGGCTCAAGGGCTGGAGCCCGGCCTAGTCTTCTACTTATTTAGGAAACAGGAGTTTTGCACTCAGAAGTATAATACGAATTATTACTAATAGAACAGCTGTTGCATTGCTCTCTCTCACAGGCTTCTTTTCAGGCTATCATTTTCAATAAAGTTCCTGTTCAAGAATAAGCCACTAGTTTAGGTTACCTCGAAATAAAAAATAATAATAAAGACAAAGTCCTAGAAACAAATTTGGGGGTGGATGGGAAGCAGTTTCTAATTGAAGTGGAATTTAAATTTAAAAGGTCCTCCGGAGCTGAATGGGTCAAAGCTTTGCCAGGAATTCCAGCCTCTGTGGAAAGGGTTTCCTCCACCTTGTTGGCTTTCGGCATCCAGGGGGTCTTCTCCTGCATCAAACTTCTTCCGCATTTCTAAGACAGATACAGAAGGATGAAGGTGAGGCTGTGGCGCTTGACCCAGAATCCAAGCAGCTCTCCATGCCTGAGGTTCAACACCCCTGCCCTACCTGCACATTCAACATAGAAATTTTAGCATTTTAAACAGCATCGGACAAACAGCCCAGGTGGAGGCCTGGGTGTTTATAGGACTCAATATAAGCACCAAGGTGCTTTTACATGTGTGCAGTCTTTGCAGCCCACTGCAGATTCACCCTCTGGCAGAGGTTATCTTTCAGCCCAGGCTCTGGATTTGGTTTTGGGGAAGAGTCAAGGGGACGAAGGCAGATCAGCAGGGCCCAGGAGGCTACCCAGAGGCTCCGCGACGGTCTTTCTGCCAGAAACTAAACCTTAGAAGGGGCAGCCAACCTTCTGGAATTGGGCGAGGGGCATGCAAAGGCCAGGAAAGCATCCGAGGGTGTGGGACCAGGAAGAGAGCTTTGCCCACAAGCTTATGGCAAGCTTTTCTTTTGTAGCTTGGCAACATTTTTATGAGGATCGCAAGGAGCGGCAGCCAACACCTGGGGGGAAGGGCTGCCTCCAAGTGCCACTGCATGCAGAGGAAGTTCTCAGTAAAGCTTAAATCAAAATACAAGCTCCAGCTCTCATTCTGTCCACTGTCTACTGCAGAGCATTTAAAACAGCTGCATCGTCAGCAGCTACATGCCATGGATGGTACTAGTTCATGCAAGCATCCACCTGTGACACCTCTGATCAGTTACGTCACTGATCAGTTTATCTGTCAGATATTTCTCCTGCCACATTAGCCATAAGGAGTTAACTCTCCCAAGCAGTTTGGGTCAAGAACTGGCCTCACCAGGGTATTAAAAATATGGAAAACTTCCTCCCCCTTTATCTGTGCCTCTTCCAACTCTGATATTTTCCTTTAACAAGGCAGGGTGATTGTTCCATGGCATCCATAGCTCAACCTCAGAGATTTTCTGATAAGGGCACTTGGGTGAATTAGACCTCAGTGAAAGTGAATAGAGGAACATGGCATGTTCAAACCAGGAGCTCACTTCTAAAAAAATAAAAATCATCATGAAATGCATTTCAAATTTATTTAGCCCTGATGACAGATAAGCAAAAGTGGTTTGGACAAGCAAAGGAGGTCGGAGAATCATCCACACATCGTTCAAGAAAAAGGTGTTGCTGTTTGCTCTGCAAAGAAATGAAACCCAAGTAGGATGGTGGACCCTAGTGGTGGAAGATCTCTAGGTGATCTGCAGGACATCAGCCAGGAGCCTTGCCTCCCAGTTATGTAATAACAGCAGTAACATGACTCTTCCCACCTAAATTAGGCTGCTGAAATAAAGAAACATTAGGGCAACCGAAAGTGTTGGAAAGGACCATTCACTCCGTTCAGTTCTGGTACTGAAAGCAACCCCTGGGAAAATTCCTACATAGCGTTCTGATGCCCCCTGTTCTTTAAGGGCCAAAGCAGACTTTTCTTAAAATCTGTCTAGTGCCCAAGTCTCTTTTTCATTTAAGGTAGGCAGAGAAACCCCAAGCAGGGACCTAGAATGTGGGGTGCGGAGGGTTTCTTTTTTAAGAGTTGGAATGGGCCCCTGTACCTCGGGTGAAAATGAAGCTGCTAGACTTGACACATGTTTACAGTAGCATCTCTCTGGGCCGCCATATGTCTTGCAGCTTGATGGGCTTTGGTGTTCTTAGTTGAAATTATGAAAGTTGCAAGCCTGAGAGCTGCCCAGCCCGCCTACCTGGATCAGTGAGGACTTCTTTGGCAGCTGCGATGTCGATAAACTTTTTCTCGGCTTGCTTCTTCTCTTTCTCATCCTGGAAATTATCAGGGTGCCACTGCATTGCTAGCTTCCTGTAGGCTTTTATAATTTCTTGTTTTCTGGCATTCCTGCAGAAATCACAGAGGACTATTTGCAAAGAGAACTGACCTACAGCTTTCATTCCAATGTAAGTCTTCAAAAAAAGAAAGGAACAAAGCAGGTTGCTTACCTGTAACTGATGTTCTTTGAGTGGCCATCTGTGCATTCACACATATGGGTTGCTACGCCTGAGCAGTGCCTAGGCCGGAAGATTAGAAAGCTAATGGTTTTTTGGGGGGAAAACTCCGCTCCCCTCCCCCTTTGTGGTATAAATAGAGTGGAGTGTCCGCCATTTTGCTCAGTCTTGAAGACCGCACGTTCGCCCTTTAGAGGTTAAAAATAAAGTAATGATAAGACACAATTATATTCCCACAGTACCAATGTGAATTACAGTACGGTACCGAGAACAATCTCTAGTCAGCGATATAACCCCCCGGTTCCGATGCCATTAATATTTTGGTAGCGAAAAAAAAATACACCCAGCGACATAATCCAAATGGTACCGATGCAAATTATAGTATGGTACCGAGAAAAAACACGATATCCACTCACCGACACCGAGTGGAGCCAGCGGGTGGGTTGTGTGAATGCACAGATGGCCACTCGAAGAACATCAGTTACAGGTAAGCAACCTGCTTTTCTTCGTCGTGGCCTCTGTGCATCACACATATGGGTGATTCGCAAGCTTACCAGACTCGGTGGAGGGAGGTATCATCATCGAAGAACAGATGAAAGAACAGCTCTACAAAAAGAGCAGTCCCGTCTGGCATGTACATCAAGCCAAAAATGCTTGGCGAAAGTACATGGACCAGCCCACATCGCAGCTCTGCAGATGTCTTGCAACAAAACCCCTGCGGCAAAAGCGGACGAGGTCGCTACTGCTTGTGTAGAATGGCCAGTTGGAGAGACAGGTAAGTCTATTTTTGATAGCTGATAAGCCAGGACAATAGTCTGGGTGATCCAATTAGAGGGTCTCTGAGATGATATCGGTGATCCCCTTTTTTGCTCGGAGTATTTAACAAAAAGTCTATTAGTAGTACGAAAAGATCCAGTGCGGGATCTGTAAAAAGCCAAGCAGCGGCGAACATCAAGCATGTGTAGAGCACGTTCTATCGGGGTCGACGGCGATGGAAAGAAAGCCGTTAGAACGATATCCTGATTCAGGTGGAACGATGTGGCCACCTTGGGTAAAAAGGAGAAATCCATCCGAAGGACAACTTTTTCCTTATGGAAGTTCAGGAATGGTGGGTCTATGCGGAGAGCACAAATTTCGCTAGCTCTCCGTGCTGATGTAACTGCTACGAGAAAGGCAGTTTTCCATGACACCAGGCGTAAGTCCACAGTTGCTAAAGGCTCGAACGGTGGTTTGGTAAGCGCTTGGAGTACTACAGAAAGACTCCATGTCGGCATGGCAGGGCGAATAGATGGATGTAAATTTTGTAGTCCCTTAATGAAGTGCCGAACCAGCGGTTGTGAGAAGACTGATAACCCGTGTATAGTGCCACGATAATGGGATATAGCGGCTGCATAAACTTTGATGGATGATGGTTTAAGTCCCTCATGATGCAAATGCAAGAGAAATTGTAAAATATTGGTGACTGAAGCCGTTCCAGGGGAAAAGGAATGGCACTCTGCAAAAGAGGAGAATCTTCTCCATTTAGCTGTACAGGAACGACGAGTGGACGGTCTTAATGCAGATTCAATAATCGCCTGAATTTCTCAGTCGGTAGGCATTGGTATTGTGATATTCGCTGTCGAATTCGAAGTCGGGGCTGCATATACTGTGTGTTGAGTGAGGTCACCCGTAGTGTGAGGTGTCCCCAGTACCGACTTGGTGACGTGAATCAGGTGATTCGCCATGCCGTCAGCTTCAGAGAGAATATATCCGGATGGCGGATCGCTCCTCCTTGTTGCGTTAACAAGTGTGGGAGAGTTGGTAGATGAAGGAACGTTCTTCTGGACAGCAGCAAGAGAGTGGTAAACCATGGTTGTCTCAGCCTCCACGGAGTCACTAGTATCCCCGTGGCATTGTCCTGGGCTATTTTTGTTACCACTCTCGTCAGAAGTGGGATTGGAGGAAATGCATAAAAAGTCATGTTGCTCCAAGGGACCATGAGAGCATCTCCCATCGATCCCGGCCCGACTCCCGCTCTGGAACAGTAAAGGGCACACAGGCTGTTCTGTCGCGTGGCGAACAGGTCCACATCCGGATAACCCCACAAGCGGAAGAGTTCCTGCAAAGTTGTTTGTCCAACTCCCATTCGTGGGTTGTCGACATCTGTCTGCTTAATGTATCTGCTTCGACGTTGTTGGTTCCAGCCAGGTGAACTGCCGTAAGCGTGATGTTCCTCGTTATGCACCAGTCCCAAATGTCCATCGATAGGCGTGCTAAGACTGGAGATTTTGTGTCCCCCTGCTTGTTTATGTAGAAAACTGCCGCTGTATTGTCTGATGCAATTTGGACAATTTGACGGCATAACACAGTCTCGAAAGCCTTGAGGGCGTTGAAAATCGCCAGAAGTTCCAGGAGGTTGATGCGTTTCCTCGCCTCTCGTCGGTTCCAAATACCTTGGACCCGAAGTCCCGAACATGCCGCACCCCATCCCAGGAGGGATGCGTTGGTGAACAGAGTCATTGTTGGCCGAGGTGGTCGAAACGGGGTGCCGATCAACAGGTTGTCTGTGATGGTCCACCATGTTAAAGTGTGGAGGACTGCAGGCGGGATCCGAATCTGCTTAGTGGCAGGATCTTGTTGCGGTTGAAAGGCAGCGTTGAAGAACAGTCGAATGGGTCGCATACGTAGCCTGGCATACGGGACAATGGCAATAGCAGCAGCCATATGCCCCAGTAGTCTCTGAACGGACAAGGCTGGAACCGTTCCATGTAGCCGAATCCGATGAATATGGCTGCATAAGGCATTCTGATGTTCCGGCGGGAGGAAAGCTTTTTCCCGTGTCAAGTCAAGTCGTGCCCCGATGAAATCGATGACCTGCGTGGGAATAAGGGTTGATCTGTTGCGGTTAATGCAGAGGCCGGGAGCATCGAGCAAAGCGCAGGTCATTTCTATATCAGACAAGAGAGCTTGTTCGGATTGTGAGATGATCAGCCAGTCGTCCAAGTATGGGTAAACCTGTACTCCGCAAGTCCGCAAGTGTGCACATACCGGTGCCATACACTTTGTAAAGACTCTAGGGGCTGTGGCCAAGCCAAGGGGTAGGACATTAAACTCGAACAGGTCGGATCTGACAGTAAAACATAGAAAGTGTCTGTGTGAAGGATGTATGGAAATATGAAAATAAGCATCCTTCAAATTCAGTGAGGCGAACCAATCCTCTCTTTTCAATAACGGAAGAATGTTCTGTAAAGTGGTCATCCGGAACTTCCTTGGTTTGATGTACTTGTTAAGAGTTCGTAAGTCCAGGATCGGACGGAGACCACTGTCCCTTTTTGGGACCGTAAAATATCTGGAATAGAATCCATGCAATCCTTCCGAGCAGGACAATTTTCGAATCGCTCCCTTGAGAAGTAGCTGTGAGACTTCATCGCATAGCATCGATGAAGAACGTGTGAAGCGAATCGGGCTCGAAGGAGGGATAACATCGAATTCTATCCTATAGCTGAACAAGATGATAGATAACACCCACCTATCAGATGTAATGGACTCCCAAATGGGGAGTCAGCCCTGGAGCCAGTCCCCAAAAGGGAGAAGGGAAGGTGGTGCTGGAATAGAGAGCATGGTTCGTGCAAGCCGTCAACGTGGGCGTTTATCAGTATCGAATCGCCTACGGCCTTGGGAAAAACACTGTTGTGCTTGCTGCCTCTGACGCTGCCGTTGTTGGTATTGTTGGGTTCAAGGGTAGTTTTGGTGCGCGGATAATATGGTTGATTCCGGTAGGACGACCGGGGCCACTGCCACTTACGTTTTTGCGGGAGCTCCATGCGGCGTGCAGTTAGGCGTGATTCATGAATCGCCTTTAATTTTCAGTCAGTCTTCTGGTGGAACAGACCGGTACCATCAAAAGGCATTTCGTCGATTCTGCGCTTCATCTCATTGGGAAAATTACAATTGCGCAGCCACGCATGTCGGCGTAACGAGATGGCATTGACGAGGGCCCTTGAATTGGTGTCTACATGGTGACGAGCGGTAGACAACTGTTGCACCGCCACCTGCATCGCCTCCTTAATGAAAACCCTGGCAAGGTCCGCTTGGTGGTCTGGAAGGGAGGAAGCGATGTTATCCAGTTTCTGCATGATAAAGTACTGGTAACGTGCCAGTGTCGCTTCGTAGTTTGATATGCGCATGCTGAGTCCAGAGGCCGCATAGACTCGGCGCGCAAGCATATCGATTTTCCTCCCTCCGTTGTCCCGAGGAGTGGTATGTCCCCTGGACTCCCTGCCCTGGGAGGATTCAACCACAAGAGAGTTCGGTTTTGGGTGACGGAGCAGGAAGGGAATGTCATCGTCCTGAACTCTACACATAGCCTCATATCTGCGGGAGGTCGCTTGTGGTTGGGCCAGTTGGTCCCAGGGTTGGAACATAGCCTGGCGCAGTGTAGTTATAAGCGGCAGAGCTATGGATGCGGACTGCTCTCCCCGAACAACGTCATAGAAGTGATCTGTCGAAGGGCCTGGCTGTTGATGGGCTTCGATTTCAAGCAAATGAACCAAGCGGGACATGAGCTCTGTGAACGAGACATGAGGTTCGTCGGGTGAAGCAGGCCCTTGGTATGCGACAGCCACATCAGGGGATGTGGAGTCGACCTCCGAGTCCTCGGAGTCTTCCACGTAGTGCGGCTGGTCGTTGTTTGAGGAGGAGGTTTCAGGGGAGGCTGGGCGCCTCGTCTCCGTACGCCTGGAGGTGGATGGTACGTCCCTCAGGACCGATGGTGATCTATGCTCACGAGGGAAATAGGGATATCGCTGGTACCCACCCCAACCGGGGGGAGCACCATATCCCGGAATCAACCAACTCTCATCTCGACGCTCGGATGAACGGCTGCGACCTCTGGGAGGTAATGGTGAGGCCACA